TTGCGTACATATGGCGTCATTACTTATAAAAATATTCAGTGCTTTGAAGCCAGCATATACTCCCCTGTTTAAGAACTTAATTAATATATATATATACGCAGGGGGGATAAGGAAGCATACAAAATATTCTACCTTGACTAATTCAGTGCTACATTATGACGTCATAGTATGAGAGATGACGTCAATTTTAGAACACAAGTTTTCGTAATGTTGGTATTTAGAAATGTGATTTAACTCTAAAAAATGAATAGAAACGTGTAAACATTAACAACAATGAAATGTTTTTATTTTGTTATGCTGTATTTTGTCATTTTTATTAAAATCTACCCCGATGACGTCATATGTGTACATCAAGTAACTTTAGAATTGATCAAGTCGTGTAAAGAGAATTTGGCTAAGATGGCATGTACCAAGATACGTAAAATGGAGTTTAAAAGCAAATACTTTGGATATTTTGTGAAATTCATATGGAGTTCAGTTAATAAAACAGGTATGCTAATTTATTTTCAATAATAATATTCCCTTTCAAAGACAGTCAGCTATATACGTCTCCCGGTCGGCCTTTCCTCTGTCATCTGTGACAAAAATAATGCACCAGAACAACAATAAGCTGTAAATTTCAAAACATAAGATTTGTATAGATGGAAAGTTTGCCTCCTAAAATACCTTGAAAGTGCTGCTAGAATCCCGAGTTAAGCATGGTTTTACGAAAAATCTCGGTTCACATGTAAAAAAAATCAAAACATCGGGAAAGGTTTATTGCGAATGTGTGGAATAATTATTTTACTGACGGGACAGTGGGATTCTAGCAGCACTTTTTAGGCAAAATAGATGTTTTTCAACTACATCATTTACTCAAAGAAATTATTAAACTCCGGGGTATTGTTGTTCTGTTAGCTTTTTTATTAAGGAACATTTTGCTATTAATAGAAGTCACGTGATGCCTTGGTGGTGGTGCATGTCGTTGTGTCAGACACTCTTTTATCTTTATGCAATAAATAATAATAGTTTACGTTTATCAGCGGATTTGGTAAATTATCAATCTTAATTTTCTTTAAAAAGTCTAATTTTCCCGAAAAATGACTTATATGCTTCCTTAACATACCCGCGTATCCATCAACGTTTGATTTGGAGGGCAAATATTTGTTATAACCGAATAAAGTTCTTTAAACCAATAATTGGACGCTGAAAAACAGCTGTAGAAGATTGGTTTATTTGTCTTTAAAATTGACTTTTTCCAGAGAAATGTTTTCTTCTACAGGCCAAATCTTTTGTAATTAAGGAAAATCTGTATATTTCTGGTTTCACAATGTGGTATCAATCAATCGGTTGGTTTGCATTATATATAGTTTTCCACAAATCATTATGCAAGCCAATCGATTTATCATCGTCATGAAACCAAAATATCTTATAGTTATCCCTTATAATGACATGCTCTTACAATGTAATTCCTCCAATGCACGTGCTACAACCCCTGCTTCTGTCTCTATTTGTCCCTCCCCGCACGTGATTTTTTTAGAACGCCCATTGAGAACCAACAGATTTTATACAAATCAAGAATTTTTCCTATTTGTATTTTTATCTCGGAGAAAGACATTTAAAATGTAAAAATTGATGACTTCAACCTTTATTACATTAAAACTTTTAAAATATGTTTGTTACATATTGCAATTAAGCACCTTCTATTTTTACTTTTTAATCCGACACTTATTTTGGTTTTCCATCACAGGCACTTGTTTCGGAAATACGTTTTTAACCTATATATATGTATAATAATTACTATAATTATTATACTATAGGTAAAAAAATTATTTCCAAAACAAGTACCTGTGTTTTCCATATCAAACATTGACTCTGTCATTCTTTTTATTATTTTGAAAAGTACCACCACTCCTACTAAACAACTGAGTAAAAATAATATTGTCACAGATTCTTTATATAATATCATTGTGAACTTCCTTTTTTTCCTTTTTGATCCGACCTTTTGAGAGTTTCAAATAACAAAACTTGGGAACTACCATTTTTTCTTTAAATCTTTAATTTTGAATAATAACAATCTCTTATCCACAACTCTCCTTTACCACTGAATAAGATTTAATGATACTTCCATATATTCTTTAAGACATAATGCCATTGTGCACACCTTTATAGTGACACTTTTTTCTGGAATCTCAGAGGAAAACAAGGAATTTGCCTTTACAATAATATATTTATATAGGAGGCGGGGTAACATTTAGTGAGCGCAGCTATCATAGTACCTCTAGTGTCGTTGTAGACAATAATTAACAAAATTTAGGTTATCAAATCAAATCACCTGTTGAATATTGAAACAGGTGGACACCGTAACATACATGCACTTAAAATTATTCGATTTTAATTATTTTTGAATAACCTCAATGATGAAGACTTATTTCATTTTATATCACCCTCTGCTTGAAATTTATGAGGTTATATAGGGCGTATATAAAGATAAATTTTCAATTCCTTTTACACCTATGATTGAAATTCAATTAAACTTTCACAGAATCTTGCCATTGTGACTTTCTATTTTACAATTTGGTCAGACATATATTTCGGGTTTCATATGATAAAACATGGGCACTGCCATTCGTCATATAATATTGCAGGGTATCAATCTCTATCCGCAGCTCCTCCTACACCACTTCTTGAAAAAGTATAGTTCTTATTATATAATATTAATTTAGCCAAAGATCTTTAAAATAATTCCAATACTATTAAAATTATGAGATATCTTAAGTTTAGGCAATTTTGAAATGTCACTACTTATATACTGGGTATTGAGGAAGGTGGGGTCAGCACATTAACCATTATATATAACTTAATGATTTGATATGATATCTTAGGGTGTCAACTATCATTTGGCAAAGAAAATTTACCTAGTATTAAGTTTTACAATATGGTCGTTTTTGTATATCTGTTTATGGAGGTCTTCTTCTGAAGGCGATCAATATAGTTTGAAATACAACCACAAGGCCCCCTTACGAAAAATAATATAGATATCGATAAGACTATTATCATGTGCCTTTTTCCTCTGATTGTCAAGTTTTCTTATATTAGCAGGCCGTGCATAATTCTGTTGAACCAGTTTGGCTGAAGAAATAAGGAAACTTGAAACTAATTAAGACATTGGTAAATTATGCAAAGGTATAAAAATCAAAAGAGCTAAATGAATTTTAGATTTTTAATGAAATTTTGTCCTTCTATTTCAATGTTTGTTTGCTTTTTTTGTGTTAAATATGTTGTTTATAGCAACGTGAAAGACAGTACCAGGATGGACTTCTCTAAAAACTACAATATATGTCACATATAAGTCACATATAATTTAGTAGTGAAGGGAAAACCGAGTTTTCAGTCAAAGTTAAGTTTTAAAATATTTCAGAAATTGAAGGTTGTGAAAAGTGCGACCCTATATTCATTGTACTTTTAATCATTAAAATTCTTTTTGTATGTTTGCATGGTGCATTTTGTACTAGTCAAATACAATAATTTTAGAAATAAAATATACCTTTCATCAGGATTGCAGCTCTTGCAAAATGACTTTATATTTCTAGAGTTTATATTTGAAGTATACAATGATCCTTTGACTGTATGCATTGGAACGATTCATTTAAGACCCTTAAATCTCAGATCTTCATCCAGGCAAGTTTTCCACATTATCAGTGAACCAGGAAATGTACAAAAAATTTATGAGTAAATCATTAAAAAAATGTATGTTGCATGTACGTTATTGTCGCCTTAAACATCTATAAATAAAAGTTTATATAGAGTACATTTCATTAATAATTGGGAAAATATTACTTAATTTGCCTATCACTACAAACAAATTATGTCATGTAGATTTGTGTTATGACAATTAGTTAAAATTTCGCTCATAAACTAGACCACACTTCTTTATGTAACTGTAAGTATGCTGTATTAGGCTAATTAATGGATATTTTAATTGTGAGTTATTGGCGTATAAATTACAGAAATCAGGATGAAAATTTTCAGGAAGCGCTAAAAAAAGCAAGTATTCTGAATGAATTTTATTTTTTCTGCATCTCTTTTAAGTAAATTCGAGCTCTACACCAGTTTCCATCTTTGCAAATATTATAAAAATGTTTAAAAGCAGAAAGAACATTTCCCCGTTTTGATGTCATTTTCAGTTCTTCATTGTTTGGGCACTCCATGGATGAAATGGCAAATTGCGTAACACCGCATCAGTCCACATGCCTGAATTAATGGAATGTTTGGATGATAATTGCTCATACCTGAAAGTTATCTCAAAATAAATCAGGGAAAAATAAATATTGAAAATTAATTTAATGGTGCTTGTCCACGAACTGTTTCTAATTACCCTTCGTGGATCGGTATACCTCTTAACATTCAAAACGCCTATAGTCTATCTATCCTGTTTCTAAATGTCGAGTTTCAAAGAAAAATGCGTGACTATATTCCTTTCTTTCAGTAGAGTGAGTCAAGAAATATTTGTATGCATGATTGCTGAAATGAATAAATTTTGTGATAGACAGTTGTTGTGATTAAGTTTTTTTTTCTATAATTATTATTTGAATGCCACTTATGTCATAAAATCTGTATCTAAAAACAACCTTCTTTTAAAGTATCAAGTAAAAAACTACAGTTCGTGACTTGAAGACGTAAGCTTCACAATGTACTTAGTCCAGACCTGGGAAAAAAAGTCCAAACCGGTATCAAAAATTTCATTAAAGTAACCCCCAGCCTTTTTTTTTTCTGAATAACATAATGATAATACAATATATACCCAGACATATTTTATTGAATATTTATGTAACAACATTCATTCTTTAAATAATTTTCGTAGAATTTGAAAAACGTCCATAATGAATTTATTTTTATCGATACCAATATCAAATGATACAATTGCAATATGTTACCAAATGATAAGATAGCACGCTAGGGATAAAATATATAAAAGCTGAAACTAAAAAGAGAGGCAGTATCGTCACCTGGTCTTATCGAGTATTCCTAACGAAAGGTAAGAAGGCGTTTTATACAGAGAATAAATTAAAATAACCAGATAACGTTATAGAATTTTGATTAGGAAAAAAATTGTCTCTCTGTATGGGGTACCGCTATAAAAATTGTTTTAGCGCTATACTAAAAAACGTTTTGGCATTAACTTATTACTAATAAACATACCTATTATCTTTGTTTTTTCATTTTCGAAATATTTGAAATCAGAAATCCTTCCATACAAAATAATTAAATGTATGACCAAATTGACGGAATCATAGATTTTTAAGCTATATTTTGTCTGAATAAGTTTTTCCCCTCGTATCATCTCTTCATATTTCATTTATTCTAAAAACTGCCACACTTAATGTCTAACCGAGAAATGACATGCGACGTTACTTAAAAACGATTTATAGTCATTGAGCTTTCAATCATGAAGTGGAGATATTAAATATGGGGAACTCACTTCCCCATTGTTTATCATGAATTTTGTAGAATGCATTTCCTAGTGTTGATTTTGGTATTTGGTTCACTTTTTGGCATCATTAACACTGACAAAGTCTCACCCCGCCCCAGCCTTAAATCCTTCAGAGATGACTATGACAGTGTGGCTAAAACCTGTGTGGCTGTCGGATATGTTAAGGACCACTGCAAAAAGAACCTGGATAGAAGTAAGATACAAATTCACATGCATCTTTGATATAATGAATATGCACTGAGCACATGTTTTTCATTCTCATTTGTTCTTTATCTGTCCTTAGAAAATATGGTAATAGCATTCAACGCCAAAGCCAAAGGAAGTGTTCAGTCAGTGAATCAGGGTAATATTGTCATGTTTGGAGAAGTCGATCTGAATGTAGGAGGTGGTTACAACGCGGTTAAAGGAACTTTCACCGCCCCCAAATCTGGAGTGTACGTCTTTGATTGGACAACAATGACGTACACTAACAAAGGTGCATACACCTCACTGGTCTTGAATGGTAAAAGAAGCGTATTTAACCATTGCTCCAACAACAGCCATTCTATCAACATGTCATGCAGTAAAATGGCTGTCATCAGAATGGAAGCAGGAGATAAGGCTTGGATTGATAGCTTCTCTGGGACATCTTCTGTTTACAACACTTATTCTTCTTTTTCTGGCTACATGTTGTAAATGCTCAATAGAGGTATACAATTAAAAAATGTAATTAAGTAACAGATTTGTTGTCTATACGAGGTTCTCTGAAAATATCTGAAATTATAAAATGCATATATGTTATATGTGAATGTAATTGTAAATAGCCATGTATATATTCTGCTACCAATGCACAAGGAAAGTGTGCTGTCATAAATAATGCAAAAAAGGTGGAAAATAAAATTTTACTTTGCAAGAGAATTCATGGTAATATTTTACACATCTTCGCAAACCACGGCAAAAATGAACAACCCTCTCCCGTTCTGGTTTTGTAGAAGAGAGAGAGCTATATGCGAACCCAAAACCGTGGCTTGAGATTCTGTATTTTACATCATTTATTCAGTTTCTCGGATTGACACAGGATGCGATAGAAGAATTGTAATTACATAATCTTTTCGTGTAATTTTTTGAATGGTTTTTTTTAAAATGAAAATGAGTTAACTACAGTATATTTTTCTCAACTTTATTTAAATAAAACGGTATTTAACTACAAAGATCCTGTTACAGAGAAGAGAATTCTTTCTAATCCTAACATTATACCTTTAATTAGTCATTCAAAATGTTACATTTATTAAAAGATATGTTTATTCTGTATTGTACTTATCTTTATATTTATTTATCTGTCGTATATTGTTAAAAGATTAAAAAAACAATAATAATTTATAACTGAATACCAGGATGTTTGACATTCATCAAAGATATTTTTAGATAATTTTTTGTTTAGGAAAACATGACAAACTGCAATAAACATGATTTTACTTAGCAAAGCAAAAGTCTCCTTTCATGACAATCTCATTGCAGTATGTTTGAAGTTGATTGTTTTACTCATTTGATATAGCGAAAGGGTATTAATCAAGCGTGTAATACTGTTCCATTGTAGAAGCGTTACGTCAACTTGAAAGCGTGACGTCAAACGTCTCCAACGTCGGGCGCAACGCCATGGAGAAACTTTCTGTTTTAAACATTATTTTGGTGTTCAGAGTAAACAATCACTTACAGTAACTTAGATTTAAAGATGCTTGGTCGAAGGAAAGTAAACTAAGAAAATCCATTTGTAACTATTTCCCACTATTGTTGATGCCTTGGCATACTCTCCTAACTAGACAGTGATTCCTTATATTTCCATTTTTACTTGAAATAACTATCTTAAAATAAATCGAAATACCGTCTTATTCAGTAGTTTTGAAATCCACGAGGCATACCATGTTATTTTCCATTGCCCCGCCCCATGACGTCAAATTTTACTATAAAAAAAATAGTCCAATAAAACACGAAACAAATTTAATGATTATTTAGTTATACTGCAGTCAAATATCAACATTTATAAAATAAACGACAAAAGAAATTTTACATTATGATAAAAGTAATCTTGCTAATTTTAACTATACATGTGACCTAGATTTAGGTTGTCGGAAGCACGAACACGTGTATAGGCCCTAGGTCACTTCTCCACCGCCAAATTGAATGCAATGTTGCATTGATGAAACAGGTGTTGGTCAGCATGGTCGGAAAACAGAATTGTGTGTGTTAAAATAACAGAAGACGTTGAATTGCGGAAGAAGATGGATGGTAATGACCGCGGGACGATGTCTGTATCGGATGATTGAGCGCAGATCTATGTGCCAATGCCGATTTCTACGTGTGGTTCAGATGGGCTGTTTACCATGTTTACGGAAGTGAAGTTCTCGGTCTCGCGAGGCCTCGGTGATAATGGACAGCGTTGCGCTAGTGACTTGCTTTTGATCCTAAGATAATTCATTATTCATTTTGTTTGTAAACAGATATATAACATCTAATTACATGTATTCAGTAAACAATTAAACAAAATAATTTTTTTCTGCAGTGTATTTATACGCCACTCATAAACATGCAAGTTTGACATTTGACCTCTCAGTAGTATTTCAATAGAGAAATTTACACAAGAATCACGGAGAAATAAGCAAAATTCACTTCTGTAGTGTTTATCATAGGGCAAACAATTGGAAATGGAAATATTTAAAATTAAGACAAAATTAAGCCTTTTTAACTTCATTGATTTAGAAAAGAGAATGCAATGTCGAATAAAAATATGATGAAAACATATTGCTACCTCTGGTAAATTAGAGACATTGAAGGACATTTATGTTCATCCTGTTACCATATTTGAAGTGCTATATAAAATAAAATTCGAAGGCCATTCAAAAAGTTCGGTGCTTGTTTCAAATTTATAATACACAATAACAAACTGGGAAATTTTTACCGACCCAAGACGATGCTGGAATATAGAAAAAGGAAGTTGCAACAAAAGCGCCCTCGGGTGTCTTTATTAAAAAGGCAATAATCAAATAAAATTTGTGACAAGAACGAAAATCACATGGAATAAGTACTAAGATGTAGGTAAGGCAGTTATGCACTTCCTTCTAAAAAAGAAACTAATTCAGATTGAATTAGCTTTGAAGATTATCTTAGATAGGTGCATATGAAAACATCAAGTATGTATTTGATAAATTTTCTTGTGGCGAAATAAAGTTTACAAACACCATCTCAGAAAGTGGTAAAAGACTTGACCCTGGTGCAGAGGTCAAGCAATTTTTTATGTAAAGACTTGTTAAAAGACGGACAATTCGAACATTTCATAAAATAGCCTTACCCTACCTTTATTTTTGCTGAATAACATAGGAATAATACTATATATATTTTTTAATGGAATATCTATTTATCTACCGCCATTTGAAACAGTATTTGTAAAATATAGAAAACGTTCATGAATTTTTTTTCGATGTGGATATCAAATGATACAATTGCAATATGTTACCAAATGATAAGGTAGCACGCTAGAAATAAAATGTGTAAAAGCTGGTACTAAAAAGAAAGATTGCGTCTTCAATTGGCGTAATCAAGTATTTCTAACGAAAGGTAAGAAAACTCTTACATGTACCTGTATACTGAGAATAGATTAAGAACAATACATTAATTTTTTTTAATAAATGTAACCTTGTATGGAGTACATAAATGTGTGTAGCGTTATACGTGAAGTAGTTTTTAAGTTAACTTACTACTATGTAGGGGGGGGGGTGTATCAAAACGTTCGTGGACTAGCTAACCTTAGAATTAAAACCGCATTAGTTTCATCAGTGAATTTTGAAATATCTATTCAGCATCATTTTTTCTAAAGAATAAACCATGAATTAATAAATGTTAATTTTCAATAAATTAATAATGTTTTTGTAAGCAATGGTATGTCCAGTCGGCGCAACCTCCAACACGACGTTTTTGTTTTGACCTATGTGTGACTGAGAAAAACTCTTTTGATATGACCATTTGACATCCAAAAATCCCATTTATTCAGGTGTGTTTGGAACAGTTGTTTCATAACATATGAAACTTTTACTTCATTCTGGAAGTTTTATGAAATTTTATCGTAAATTTACATGAAGTGTCCAAAGAAATAAGGCCTTGAAAATAACGTCAAAAGTGGGAGGGGTTTCCTTTTCCAACATTCTATAAGTTTTTGCTCCTGAAAAAACTGGTATAGACCTAAGAAATTTTTTAACTGGCTACAAAGAAATAATATGCATTCAGAGCACTTGTCTTTTAATTTCAAAATATTTTAGATATTCGGAGAGAAAAGGATTGTACAGTTAATGTCGATCTGTAGTCAATTTATGAAAAAAATCAATCAAGTCAAAAAAATGACGTTGATCATGTGTTGTTGATATTGAACCCCCAAAAGCAAAATATGCTGGCACAATCAAGCAAGGATCTCTCCCAATGTAAATATCCATTTGGAATATTATAGTCATTGATAGCCGCTGTTCATGACATTGTAAAGTCATATAAGCTTACTCAGCTTCAGGAAACTCGTCAAAATAAGTGTATGAGGTAGAAGAAGCGGACATTGAAAAACAATGACGTATATAGTCGGACGTCATGAAATTAAACAACAACAGCGCAGGGTGATCATATAATTTCGTTTTCATTTTATAATAATTTGGCAAATAATGAACGTATCAATGTAACATTTTCAACATTTCTTTAGTTTTTGTTGTTTTATGTTTCATATAAAATTTAAAGGCACAGACTACATAGTTCCAATTTTATAACCTCAGTCCACGAACTTTTTGATAACCCTCGTATAAAACAAACCTCTTTTTTTTTTTACTTTTAAAAAAAATATTTTGAATCGAAAAGCCTTTCATTTGAATTCTTTATTATATTACCTTTTAAGAATACTCGAAAAAAATGAAAAAAAAATGAATTAACAAACTGACGGAAATATAAAGATATAGCTTTATTTTGTCTGAATAAGTTTTTTTTCATATCATTTACTACTATTTCTTTCATTCTCAAAACTACCATACTTAATGTTTGACCGACAATTCACATATAGTGATGATTAAAAACGATTTATAGTCATTGAACTTCCAAATAAGTCTAATTAATTATCTAATACGAGGAACTCACTTTAAAAAAAAATTCCATTGTTTATCATGAATTTCAAAGAATGCATTTCCTCGTCTAGATTTTGGGATTTGGTTCAATTTTTGGCATCATTGACACTGACAAAGTGTCACCCCGACCCAGCCTTAAATCCTTCAGAGACGACTATGACAGTGTCGCTAAAACATGCGTCGCTGTTGGATATGTTAAAGACAACTGCAAAAATAACCAAGATAGAAGTAAGATACTTAATTGGCTGCATCTTTGATATAAGGAATATGCACTGAAATAATGCTTTTCAGTTTTATTTGTTCTTTATTTGTTGTTAGAAAATACGGTAATAGCATTCAACGCCAAAGCCAAAGGAAGTGTTCAATCAGTAAGTACTGGGAACATTGTCATGTTCGGAGAAGTTGATCTAAATTTTGGAGGTGGATACAACAGAGTCAAAGGGATTTTCATCGCCCCCAAATCGGGTGTGTATGTCTTTGATTGGACAATAATGACGGACATCAGCAAACCAGCTTATACCTCTTTGATCTTGAATGGTAAAAGAAGGGCATATAACCATTGTGCCAACAACAGCCACGGTATTTACATGTCATGCAGTAAAATGGCTGTCGTCAAAATGAAGGCAGGAGATAAGACTTGGATTGATAGTTTTCATGGAACATCATCTGTTTACTACACACATTCTTCTTTTTCTGGCTATATGTTATGAATGTCAAAAGAAATATATAATTAAATATATGCAATCTAATAACAGATTCTTTGTCTATCTGGGGGTTCCGCAATATGTTGATACGCAGCATTGTTAAGGCTTGAAAAAGGGGGCGGGGCCTAATTTATACGGGAAAAGGTAACTGTGACGTCACACAAAAATGTGACTTTTATGCATTTCTCATAATACCTGAAAATGAAATAATTTGCAACTTTTAACTGTATAAGCATATTAAACAACAATAAAACTTATCAATTCATTAAAAAAGTTGCTAGTTAAAGCCCATGTAGCTGGTTATAAACAAAGCACTGATCGCGATGAACTTGTTAACATGACGTCATATTGGTAAAAATCACGTATTTCATGTGCTGTGAGAGGTAGTTTGAGGATTTCTCTAACAATGAATAATGCGTTTTATTATTAAACCGAATATTAATTACAGATTTTAAATAGTCGATTAATACCAATGTATATCCCTTGTTTAGTGCGATAATTAATTACCTATGAAGAGAATGTATTTTATTAATTATGTCGTGTTTTTATGTACAGGTTACGTATATTTTACATCGAGATGCCTCATAATATCGTACTTTCGCAAGGGCATATACTGCATAGATCTGAACCATATTTTGAATATAGATAAAGGATATTTTCCTTAACTTGAAAAGTGCTACTGCTTTAGAACTCTAAATCGAGGATGTGATTTTATGAGTACACAAAATATTTGGTAAAGGTCAAACATATTTCGACATTGGCCTATTTACTTGAAAATTTAACTATTAAAACTCGAATTCTATTCAAAGCAGCAGCACCTTTCAGAAACTACAAAGTATGCAGAAACAATTAGTAGCTTAAATTTTTCATTTCAACTAGGGTATGCCCTTGCGATATTGAAAGGAGTTTTCCACTTAACTATAGTAGCGTGGTCCCTTTTTTGTCCTTATTTTTCAGAATATACACCAGGATACGGTATTATTTTTAGTTTTATTGTGTATAACAAAGTATTTCTAATTAACATTTTGTACAATCATTATCAATAACTTGGAATATTAAGAAATACAAGCCGATTTTCAACACCTACTGAACACACAAATTCGAAACATTTTCTTTCGAACAGAATATGGTTCCTCTATTACATACAAATGGGTGGAGACATTTAAATTAGGTATTATATAAAGGAAGACACCGATGAATATTGTAGCGTGAGATAAGAAAAAATAAACAATATACGATGGGTAATAATAATCTTCAATACGTTTGAATTTTATTTTGCATCAATCGTATTCTTCTGAACTTGGGCTGTGTAACAGTCTTTTTTAGTTCTTGAGGTGTTTTTGACGGGGTTTTGAAAATCCCCCTAATCACAATATTTTTTTTAAATCTATCATTGTTGAAGAAAATGTCAAGATATTTTACTCACTACAATAATTTTCTTTTATATGATTGTTTGAAAAGCACAAGCAATTGCATCATAATTAACGGTAAATACACTCAGACATACACTCCCATTCAGGGGGAAGGCTTAGAAAAGAAAACAAGAAACATGAATTTGATGAAGCAAAAGAAAATGATCGAGGAAATCCTTCTCCAAACTTGAAAACGATTAATGTAGAATTAGGAGTTTAAAAAAATACTCATTTTTTATTTGAAAAATTAAACATTAACATTAATGTGTGTTTATTCATATTGTAACAGCGTAAAGGCGTATGAAAGTTTTTTAGGGGGAGGGGGGTGAAGAACTCAAAATTTATCCCTGAAAAGAATGGGTCACCCCTTCCCCAGATACTACCTGCCTGACATGTATATATATTTCTTAACTTCGCTGTAAATTCTGCAATATTCCGATTTACTTATCGATTATAAATACATTAGGAGTTTTTTTTCGAGTTTATATAAAATTTTATATGCATGCAGCTAGCATCCAAAAACGTGACAAGAGTATGAAGTTGCTTTGAATATTGAAGTGGTCAGTATGTGAGTGCATTTGTTTAGACTGATTAAATGTGAAGAAATTAGTACGTCTTTGGTATTTTCTGCTTTTCTATTTCTCAAGAAATTGATTTAATATGTATTTATATACATCTACACGTGTGCTTTTCACAATGAACAGGAATATTGCGATTACGTGCATGAGAATTAAAATAAAAATCGTCAAAGTTTAACATATATAAGTAATATTCATCGAAGTCTATAGAGAGCCTTTTTTATTTAAAAAAATGAAAGCTGGTGTCTGCACTTTTCAAATACGAGCTACATGTGTCGCTTCCTATAGAAAACACGCTTTCCAAAGGTATTCACCTGTGGCGGAATGGAATCACGTGACATATTATCTATTCTTAGCAGGTCAACAAGAGGTTAATCCTATGTAAATGTACTCAACGATCAGATTCAAAATCATGATACTTTTACGTAGAAGACATAGAGCGCAATGTTGTTCAACAAAGATATTTTTACACAATCTGTATAAATATAATATACACATTATGTTTTGATGTCGACTTTGAACAAAGCTGCGCTCGATGTTTACGAAAGCCGTGAAGTGGGTATCTGTCACAAATTTCTTTGGATATTCATGAAAATCAAAGGACCCCACCTTCAAAACACAGCTTCGCGTGTTCTTTTTTGCAATTATTTGAAATTTTTAAACGTTGGAGTATATACTACAGACATAAGAGAACAATGTAATTCACTTTTTAAGCTTTTTAATGAAAGTTTAAAATTTGACAAGTAACCGGGGACCACAGATAATGGATTTTTGAGACTTCTTCTTTGTTAATGACCTACATTCAGCACACGAACTATGCATTCATCACGTAACTGTTCATCGATTGGACTAAACCTTATACAGTACAGATTGGGTTATACTATAATATTTCCATAAGTATTAAAGTTCTGTGATAATAAAGCATCTTAATTAAAATAAATTCAGTTTTTTTAAAAAAAAAAACAACCCTTTTTTGTACGTCTTTTTTACGTTGATTTCTCATAGTAGGCCTTAACAGTGCTGCGTATGAATATCCCTTTACAAAACGTGTTTCACCCTCTATTTCACAAGAAAAATAAACTGTGCTCTGATATTTGATTTTTCAAAGTCTAAATCTTCATCAAATTTGAGGAAGAACCTTAAACATTTTGACTTACTCGGGGTTAGCTGGGATATATTTGTAAGTTGTTATATGCCGGTACAAAAATATTTAAGAGGCAAAAAATTCATGGAATTTGTAATTGACACAGGATGTAAAATGGAAAAGAGAATACTAGTATATAATTAATTTCAGAAAATTTCCATTGAAAAATGAAATTATTTAAAATGTGATTTATTTTAAAATATGAATTAATATCAATGATACAGTAACTAAGAAAGCATAAATCTATCGATTTGCAGAAGGGATTTTTTTTTAATATTGACATTATACCTAATTCATTTAATGTCCGTCCTATTACTTTTATCGAGGACGCTGTAAAATTCAATATTTCACATTTTTTACGAGTAATCCTAAAAAGATTATTGTTAAAAATTCAACATTTATCATAAACTGTCAAGAAAATTGCATTCCAATCTACAAAGGAGAAGCAAAATATACAAGTTTCGTTTTTCATGGCAAGCGTGTTGGAAAATGATTATATTTTGTAAAGAAAAAATAAAATAAAAATTAAAAAAATATATATAACACTTTTGTACATGTACAGTATTTCGATGATTAGAATAAACAATTACAGTAACTTGATTAAACAGGTGCTTGGTCGAAGGATTTTGAACTAGGAAATTCTAACGGTAACAGCAAAAACTCCGTATAGCTCGTATTAAGTATTACATGACTGACAAGTAATTGAGCATTAAGACAAAAACAAGAGATATTTATGAAACACATAGGTTTCTACATTTCTTGGACAAGATGCATTACTCTGTCAAACATTGCTCTAGGGTACCAAAACAAAATTTGACCTACATAAACCGATATAAAAATTTGTATACCAAATTGCAGATCAGTATGTATAACCCTTGCAAAGGAAATGAACGAAAACTGCCAAAACTATATAATCATTTTAGTCCATGGGGCATAATGCTGTCAAAAATTGCTCGATCGCATCAAAAAACAAAACTTTGCCTGGATATCCTTATGATAAATCTGTATATCAAATTTCATTTCATTATGTGCGATTCCTTCAAAGAAAATGAATGGAAACTCTCGGTAGCGCACCAACTGACAGACAGACAGGCCGACAGACAGCAGAAATGCAATGTGCCCTCCCTTCGTTTCTAAATAGATTTAGAAAAGATAGTGAACATTTTTGTTCATCTTTTTTAATTCATCTAATTCATCGAGAAGATTAAACAATTAAAAGAGTTCTATCTTTTTATGAAGGTCACAGAAAGTACTCAGTAGGCACTTCCAAAGAGACAATCGTATCATCAATGACATATTTGGAGATAACAAACAGTTTTCGTGCTCAAAACTGTATTAAAGAAGACAGAAAAAACAGACCTAAAAACATCAGTTGTATCATTTCTTTATCACTTTCAAATAGAGTCACAATATACTTGGGACAATCCAACATTTTGAAGTTCGTGAGAAGAGTTCCTGTAAAAGGAAAATAATCCTTATTTTACATGAATGACATGAAGTGTTAGAATATAATTTCATTTCCTGAATGTTTAATTAAAGTATCTAGCATGAAAAAAGCATCCATATTAAATTATTTTGATGAATCCAATTCTATTTATATGACGTACAATTTTTTTTTACATATAAATATAGAATAGTGTAATTTACCCAATCAAGTAACTGAGCACGTTATAAAATTCCTGATAATGACGGCGATGCAGTTATCTGTTATTTTTAATGAGAATGCTTACACACTTACCAAAACATTAACAATTTATATGAAAATTAATAAAACCTTAGATTAATAGCTTATTCTACATTTTAAAAAATATGATAACAACTAAGTGTTTCAAAATTTATTGATAAATTTAAAGTACATGTAGTTTTTATTGA